TATTCACCTCGTGTTGGCCATAGTTTCAGAAGAGTGGAGTCTCACTAGACCATCCTGTGCCTCCATGCTTCATTTATCAATGGCTGTGGTTTGGAAAGACACTGCATTGCCATGGTTGAACAAAAGAGCAGCTCTAGTGTCAGAAAGGAGCCAACCTACCACGAGGCACAAAGCAGATAGTTCAAAGCATCTGAAGTCTAGGACGAATTTTGGCGGTTTCTCTGTTACCATTGGCTTTGCAAGGTCCAAGTTGGTCCCTGAAATAAATTTTGTTATAGCCTCTACCATTGTGAAGGCAAAACAAAGTGTGAATAGCCATGTGGGTAAATGTATTTATCTTCCAGTATAAGATTTTTTGCTGTGTTTTAAACCCTATTCCTTACAGTTCAGAGCAGACCATCTTCACACAGGCTGAACTCCTTGAAACTTTTTTATCTTTCCATGTTAATATTAATGATAATTAATTTATATGATGTGTGAAATAGTGTTTTTTAATACATTTTTCTTTCATCGAGATGATGAATATTCTGTGTTTTGTTAAGTATGTATGAGAAACCACTGACCAAGCCACCTGGATCAGATTATTTATAAACTTTGTCATTGCTTTGTCCAGGACACAGTGCTGACTTGGCTTAGGGCATAAACAGTTCACCCAGAACGTCACCAGTCCCTTGAAAGCAATTAACTTTTTAGCAACTGTCCCCAGAGATTTTGCATGATGGATGAGATTTTCAATGAGGCGTGGGTTCACCTGCCAGATACCCTTGTTTAATGGGTCCTGGTTCAGAGGCAAATACACAGAAAGTGACGAGACCCTTTCTCCATGGCTCCTCAAAGTCCTTCACAGATGCAGATCTGTCCACGTCCTGCTGAGAAAGATGCATGTGTCTGACGTTCAGTTGGAGCAGAGGATGGGTACCAGGGCAGATGCTGGAGGTTAGGCAGTGGCCTGGGGAATTTAGCCAAGGCAGCTTGGACGCATGCCTTGGAAAACACCAGCCATGCAGAACAATCTTAGGGGTGGAGCAAGGGAACGGAGGATGAAAAGGGTATTGGGCAATTGTTGGATAGTATGAGCTCCTTTTTCAGGTTTAGAAATGAACTTCTAGTCAGCATTGCTTTTGTACAACCTGTTGTTTTGATAGTTCTTAAGAATTTGTGGTGATTCTTTTGTTGTGGTTGTTTAGTTCCTACTTTAAAAGTGTTAACCTACCATGGAAGTTATTTCTGAATCACAGCTGTGGGGAAGAGTTTGCTGTCAGCTAGCTAGCAACAGGGTTGTGTTTCTCATTAGATAATTAAACCCATTTTAGGGATTTGATTTTGAATTGTACACTCTCGAATTCAACATTAAAAAAATACATAATAGATACTTTTTAGGTATTATGCTGGATCCTGGAAATACCAAACTGAGAAGAATGGACTCTGTTCTCCCAGAATGTGTCATAGAGTAGGAAGACAGATACATAAACTAATAATTACCAAATAATGTGATAAATGCATGTAGCCACAGAAATGCAAAGGTTAAAAAAATGAGCATGGACGAGGTCATAATTAACTTTCCAGGAGGAGTATCTGAATCCAGAGAGACTTCAGAGAGGAAATGACAGCTGAAGCAATTTACCAGGTTGATAGAAATTTACCAGAAGGGGAAAAGACACAAGATGGAGAACCTGTACTGGGCAGAGCCACACGGCATGGTGGAGTTTGCATAGATGGGGTTTTTATGTACTGTAGTCTTAAACCACTCTTGATGGGAAAGAATTGACTTTACAGAATCTTAAAAAATTAACTTAAAAAAAGAACTAAAGTAATGGATTCTGATTTTTCTAATAATGGCATACAGTATCATTGGTACTCCCTGTGTATATTTAAGTAATAGCTGTGAACTTAAGCTTGGGTGAGAACTGTCTTCCTTAAATTTAGGAGAGGAAATAGTAGCAGTAGGTTTAGAAGGTGCTTTTCTCTTAAACCAGCAGGTTCTTGGTGAAACCCACTGAGTGTGTGCTGGGGGGACTCTGAGGTGGGCATTCTGGCCTCCTTTCAGTCCGTCACTGAAGGAGGATGTAGTGTCAGGCATGTCACTTAGCGGACCCTCACTTTCCTCTTGATCAGAATGAGCTGTTTATATGTATAATATCTAAATTCTCCTTCCAACTCAGATTCCATCACCTATCAAAACACCTCTTAATAAATTTTGACACATAAAGGAGAATAATTCACATGTCTCGAAAATTCCCTCATACTGGATAGCAGAGGTCTTATTCCATATCACTTAGTAATTATCACTTAGTAAATGTATTTTGTGTAATGATGGGACATTACAGTCAGCTTTTACTAGGCTAGAGAAGAAAGAAGTTTTAAAAATACCATTTAGCTATGGAGGTTCCTTAAGAAACTAAAAATAGAGTTACCATACGATCCAGCAATCCCGCACCTGGATATGTATCCAGAGAAAACTATAATTCAAAAGACACATGCACCTCAGTGTTCACAGCAGCATTATTTACAATAGCCAAGACATGGAAGCAACCTAAATGTCCATCAACAGATGACTGGATAAAGAAGAGGTGGTATATATACACAGTAGAGTATTATTCAGCCATAAAAAAGAATGAAACAATGCCATTTGCAGCAACATGGATGAACCTAGAGATGATCATATTAAGCGAAGTAAGTCAGACAGAGAAAGACAAATATCATATGATATCATTTATATGTGGAATCTAAAAAAGATACAAATTTTATTTACAGTCTATAATAGACTCCAGAAATAGAAAACAAACTATGGTTACTACAGGGAAAAGGGCAGGGGGAGGGATAAATTAGGAGTTTGGGATTAACAGATACACACTACTATATATAAAGTAGATAAACAACAAGAACCTACTGTATAGTACAGGGAACTATATTCAATTTCTTACAATAAGCTATCATGGAAAAGAATCTGAAAATATATGTGTATACATATGTATGTATGTATAACTGTATTGCTTTACTGTACACCTGAAACTAACATTGTCAATCAGTTGCACTTCAATGTAAAATAAAATTTTAAATATTCTATTTAGGAATAATTATAACAACAAGAAACTTCAGTGAAAGAGTTAAACAACCTGCCTCTCTCCCCAAAAGAGAAAACAAACTTTTCCATTATAACCCCACCAGGCACTGTCAGACTTGCTGAGATCCTCACTGTCACCCTCGAAATGTGAGCCTGCATGCCACGTCCTCAGGGGGCGATGAGCATCTTTGCAAAGAGTCGACTTCCAGCACATCTGCCTCACTGTGCCTGCAGGTCCCAGGAACCATCTGAAGGGCTTACTGACCCTGCTGTTCCGGAGACCACTCCAGCAGCCAAGAGGGCTCATCCCTGCCTGCAGGGACAGACGCATAATGCAGTTTGCTTTAGGGAACCTGTTTGGGTTCTTTCTCGAATCAAAGTTGGTTTTGTTTTTGTTTTTTCTAATTGACGTAACTTTGCTGGGAATTGCCTCTGAGGTGTGGATGACCAACAGGTACAACTGCTGCCCTCACAGTGCCTTCATTTCAGTCTTTGCAAAACACAGATGTGGCTATTGTCGCTTGTAGGAAATCACTGGGCCTGGGGAAGAAAACATTTTTATAATATCTTGACCTTCCTGCCAAACATCAGTCTAGTTTTTATGAGCAGAGCAAAGGAGTGTTCAGAAGAGGCTTTGGCCTTTGCTTGGTCCCCTGCCCACCAGGCTGCTGACACGTTCGCTGAATCTGAAAGCCTTCCTGTTCCCCGACCCCCAGTTCGTGCTCTGTCTTAAATTATTAGTGCTCTTACAGAGATTCCTTTGGAAACCAGAACCATTATAATAACCTCTAGATTTTATTTTCCTTATGTAAGTATTTAATTATAAGACAGCTGTCATGAAAGCTTAATGTTTCTGTTGCTGTTAAATTTTCTTGTTTCTTGTGTCTACCTGGATGCTATTTTCATGTCTCTGCAGCATTCTTAAAAGTGGTTTCAGGGACTCTTCTGCATTTCTAAGTAGATCTGACTTCCAGGAAGATCTTGTATAGCAGCTGGTGGGTATTTCTGTTGACCTACAAAGATCCAGGAAATTCATGGGGCCCTAGTTTTTGTTAATCCTATTATAAGGGGTGCCTGAAGCAGAGTTTGGGGCTTAAAAAACCCTGAAGATCCCCATGGAGATTAATAATAAGCGATAAAGAGGTAGGAGGGTTAGGTTACATTTCTTTGAGACCTCAGATTTCTTTAATCCCTAGGTGTGCTGGGTTAGTGCTTATCTTCATGATTGGATTAGCAAAGGTAACAGGAGTTTTGAATTTCCCTTTCTGCCTCTCTGCTTTATATTTTTGACTGGTGTTCCTGTTGTATGTTTGTTGATCCCAGCGGTGTATCTGTCTCTAAAGCCAGGGCCCCGGACCAGGCTTAAATGAGGTAAGTGACAGTCTGGAGCCAGTGAGTCATTTTCAGGTGTGCTCTTTTTAACTTGTTTGGAAGACTTCGTGCCATCCCTCTGGCTAAATGACAAAATCACCAGTTGGCTCAAGGGAAATTTATCTTTCAAGGGTAACCTCTGACAGACTTTAAAGAATGTGGGAAACTTGTTTTGTATGACAGATCATTTCCTTAAAGAGAGACATGGAAAGTTCATTTAGATTTGAAGCCCATTCTGATTTCTGTAGCTGATTGTAGGAACAGGGGTCAGCAAAGCACAGCCTGGGCTGGTCGCTTGATGTTATAAAGTTTTAATGGGACACAGCTTTTGCCATGCAAGGGCACAGTTGAATAGTTGCCACAGAAACCCTCTGAATCACAGAGTTTAAAATATTTACTGTCTGACCCTTTACAGAGAAAGTTTGCAGAGCCCTGCGTTAGAGTGTTACTGATGCTTAATGTTAAGTAGGTCAATTTAGCTGATCGTTGTAAGTTGTAAAAGGAAGGAGTCTTGTTAGTCAGTTCATGCATTATCGTTTCTGCTTTCCCAAAAGTGAACTTTAAAAAAAATATGGCACACTTCACAAATTTGCGTGTTATCCTTGCGCAGTGACCATGCTAAATCTTCTCTGTATCAAGTGAACACTCTTTGGACCTCACAGAAAGGATACAGTGGTAGGAGAGGTGGAACCAAGATCACACGTGGATGGCTTCACTCAGCCTTATTTGAGGGAGACCTCCTAGAGCCCCCGTTCTCATCTCCCACCCAATTTTATATCTGATGGGATTTCACATTCAAGTTCTGGTCCCAAAGGATTCAGCAGTTCTGGAGGACGTTGCTACTATAAGCTCTGATCAGCCTTTCAACTCAGATGGGGCTTGAGGGACAGAGAGAATATTCATCATAACTAAATCCTTACTAATAATTTAAATTCTATGAATTCCAAGACTTTGGCAGCTTGACTCAGTAAATCTTTCCTGTCTTTTTTTTAAACAAGGGAAAAATAAACAGATTAAAGTGCACTTACAAACCCAGCTGGCTTGTTTTTAAGCTCCCAGAGGAGCACTTGATTCCCCATTCCACTATTTTTCCTTTTTATCAAATTGCTAAGAAACAGTAACTGAATTGATTTAAATGATTTCTATCACACATAGCCTTTAAGACAAGTAATCGGTTTATTATGCTCAGTCATAACGATGGTATTTTACTTCTATGAATTGTATTTTCAGCAGTGCTCATAAAATACCCAGTCTGACTTCGTTTATTAACTTTCTCATTTTTCCATTAACTGATGTTTTCCTGTCTCCGATAATTTTCCTGCCCGTTGATATTGCATAACTCAGTAGAAATGTGTCTTTAAAAAGAACGAACAAAACCTTCTTTGAGATTTGGGTAAGATGATTTTATCTGAATATATCTCAAAGAATAATTCTTCAGTTTTTGTTTTAGTCAGATTTCACTTTTAATGTTGTAATCTGAAGATCGCTTTGAATTTAATTACGTTAATTTTTGAGGCTTGCTATTTAGTCATCTCTTATTGCTGAGAGCCTAGACATTTAAAAAAAATAACATTTCATTTTCTACTTTTTAGATAAGAAGATATGATTCAGTTTTCATTTATTCAGCTCTTGTCTGCAAAATTAATTAGAAAAGATGTCTGGTCTTGTATTAATAAGTTTCAGTTTGGTGTTTTATTCACTGTTGAGTCTCTCAGTCTGTTGCAGAAGCCGTCTAAGCCTGCGTGAGGCAGCCACATGATTTTTTTTAGCTTCCTCCTGTTTTATTGGCAAGTGACCATGTGTATGGTAATTGAGCAATTGTGTGCTTACATGGGTTTATGGAATTTGCATCAGCAACTTTTGGCGATCTTAAATTTTTGTCTCCAAGCAGACTTGACAAGGAAGCTTTCTCAAATACTATCTTTTGGTTAAAAATGTATTTCTCATTTTATTGAGTGACAGACTATCTCAAAATATTGAAGATGCATTTCCCTTTTCTCTTGGCCATCTCTTGGGTCTTTGCAATCTTGGAGACTGAGATAAGTTTCCATTTGTAAGGGGGAGAGTGAGATGTAAGGGAAAGGGGATGAAAGTTGACTGACTACAGGTGGGCCGTGGTCAGTGAGCTAAGTGTTCACATCCTTCATCAGAGCCTGTCTGGTCCATCATCCTCTGGTTTTTTCCCTCCCTGTTAGACAAATGCAGTCCCCATGTGGCAGAGCAGAGTTTGGAGCTACGCTTTGTTTTTTCTGTCCTGTTTTCTTTGGTCTCTCTGGTGAGATGGGATTGACTCTGCTGTCAAGGGAGACACCCAATTCCCTTTCACAGCCGCTGCCCGCAATAGCATTTCCTCCTTTGTTTGAGTCCTGACCCATTCATTCCTTCCCGAACAGAACCATGCTGCCTTGCCCCCTCTGCCTGACCCTTCCAACCGTCTGCCTGCCCCCGTCTCCTACTGGACCTTCCCTGACCCCACTTCACTTTTTCAGTTCCCGAGGGCAACTTTTTCCAGGGAAAGTGCTTATGTTAAACCTGGGCCTCTCTGGCTTGAGACAAATCCCATCTCGAAGTTGTAGGGCTTGTTCAATGACTGACAAAGCCAGAAGGCCCTGGGAAGGAATGGAGTCTGAATGGGGCTTTGAGGAGAAGAAACTAGGTGGGGAGTGTGGGGTGGGGGAGGAGAGAGCAGAGGCTCATTGCAGGATGTCTGTCGGGACCAGGTTGCCTTGTGATGAGTGTGCTTGCATTGGGCACAGAAGGGTGTGTGTGAGTTTGAAAGGAGGCTAAAGCTGGGCTCTGGAGCCCAAAATACACACGTGGGAACACTGCAGGTGGGGGCAGCTGGGACTTAGTGGCAGGGAAGACTGTACCTTGCCCTGTGCCTGGCACCAGCAGTCAGCCAATATTTATTGAATGGCCAAGGATGGGATCTGGGCTTTAAGGGTCTTCCTGGAAAGGAAATTAACTGGGCTGGAGGAGAGTGAGACTAGAGGTAGCATAACCTAATAGGATGCAAGTATTATTTATTGTCCCCCTTCTCTGTGTATTGGATTTACAGGAAACCGGAGATGCACTGAAAGATAACACTCCAGAATCATTTTCCTAGTTGATGTGTTTATTACCTCCCTCCCTTGGTGGGGTAACTAGGTTTATTTATTCATTCTTTTTAATGTTTTTAATGGAGGTACTGGGAATTGAACTGAGGACCTTGTGCATAATAGGCCCACACTCTACCACTGAGCTATATCCTCCCCACCATGTGTTTATTTTTACTATTGCTTCATTTATATTTAGGAAAAATGATACCAAAGACTGCATGGAGTATAGACAAAGTAAAATCTTTCATACATAGGCCTCTCTCTTTCCAGCTCCCTGCCACCAGTGTGTCCCCAGGCAACTATGAGCACTGCATGTCAGTTGTCCCTGGATTCGTCTAAGCCAGTGCTTTTCAAACTGAGTTATGATCCCATCCATGGATCATGCGATGAAATTAGTGGCTTGCGGAGAGCATTGGAAAGGACACATTGTAAAACATAAAATAGCCCACTATATTGCACGCCATAAGGGTCAGTTCTGTTTTGTGACAGAAAATATATTTCTTATGGTGGGTCACTGAGAAGTTTGAAAAACAACATCATAAGTGAAAAGAGCTCATTACTTAGGAATATCATAAATCTATCTTTAGCTCTGTGTATAAAGAGATCATATGATTTATCATCTCAACCAGGACACGTTTCAGAGGGAAAGGGGAGGCTCTTAATTACATCACAACAACAGGTGTGAGTCGGGACTGCCTCAAGCTAATTAAGAAATACAGTCACTCTGCCTGTGTTAGAGTTCTCCAGAGAAACATCTATGCACATCTAGATCTGTCGATCTCTGTATTTATGGGGGAGGGGGAGACAGAGACAAAGAGAGAGAGGGTAGGGGTTACTGAGGTTTATTTTAAGGAATTGGCTTATGTGCTCGTGTGATCTGGCAAGTCTGAAATGCATAAGACAGGCCAGCAGCAGCCTGGAAACTCAGCTAAAAATTGATGTTTCAGTCTTGACTCCAAATTCTGCTGCAGGGCAGCAGGCTGGAAACTCAGGCAGGGTTTCTATGGTGCAGTCTTGAGAATTCTTTCTTCCTTGGGAAACCTCACTCTTTGCTTTTAAGATCTTCAGTTGACTGGATGAAGCCCACACACGTTATAGAAGATAATCTGCTTTACTCAAAGTCTATTGACTCAACTGTTTATCACATATACAGAAAATACCTTCACAGCAAAATCTAGGCTTGTCTTTGACCACACAATGGGGCACCATAGCCTAATTGTCAAATAAAATTAACCAGCACACCGTTTACTGAAGGAGGACAAATGGTGGATGAACATCACTACAAAGCTTTCTTTAGTGCCCCAAGGCTGTGCTGGGGCTGGACAATTTGTCATATGCTTGTTGTGTTTTTGTATGTACTTATCATCAGCGAACTTACTGAATTTTGCCATTTTGACCTTGTGGCTTCTTAAAATAATTTTTTAAAATATTTTTAACATCTCACTTGGTAATTTAGATAGCCTTTTAACTACACGTGAGTTATATGTCACTTTGTATTTGAAGCTGTTTTAATATTTTATGAAATGTTTTTGTGAAATATTTTATGAAATGTTTGGAGAAGAATGTTCCTGAATAACTTGGCTGCTTGGGACACACTATTTATCCTGTAGAAACTGCCACAAACATATCTTTGTAAGTATTTCAGCAACTTGTCATTTCTCTTGCTCCAGGATAAACTGTGAAGGCTCTGAACTGCCAAGAGAATCCGTGAAAAGTGGCAGGAACTAACCACGAGGCAGCTTTCCCTGCAATAGACTGCCACAGAGTAGCTGGTAAACCCTTAGCAGCAACGTGGCCTTGCTAGGATCTTTGAAGAAGGAGAGAGAATTCTATTAAGTTCTATATTGAAAAACATCAAAGTGAAACTCTTCATCCTTCACCTCTACTGACTTGATAGTCAACCTAGTGCTGAGTTCCTTAAGTTTTGCAACTTCTATAGTTTTAGAAGGATTGTCTGGCATTCTAGAAAGTTCAGAAACTATTGAAGAAAAGGAGAAATTTAGACACAGACATGCACTTATTTCTTTAGAAAATGCGGCCAGGCAAGCTTGAGGTCACCCTGGAGAGGAATCCCCACTCCTGAAGCCCATGACTGTGACACAGAGTGGAGAGAACCCAAGTAAGACGTGGAGACTCAGAATCTCACCTGCATCTGCCATTTGTAGCAACTTCACTTCATTCTAGAGTCTTTGATGTTGGTTCATAGCACTGGTTCTCAAGCTGGGTAGATCTTGACTGAAAAATCGGTCTCCACTGCTGATTAGCCATGTGACACAAGCTACCTGTGTCTGCTCCTCTGCAGCATGGCTACGTCACATCTGCTTCTCAGACTTGTTTGGGGGGTTGGATAAACATGTACTTCTAGGACCACACACATTACTTGTCCAGCATTCATTAATAGAGCTGTTTTTATTTTTGTGAATGGCTGTCCCAAATAATCTCTAAATTTTTGTCCTCATATGTGACATTTCTGTGCCCCAGTGGGTGGCTCTTCCCTGCTGTCTATACAGTGACTGGTACTAAGTGGCATTAGAATAGCAAGAATGAGCCAAAGGGGGTAACAGGGCTCT